TGTGCACCAGAACACAGAGAACCTTCATCAGTTATGCCTCCAACACTGCAGAGCCATCTTTAACGGACCTCTTTTGTTTTGTCTTCAGAATTTCAAACGAGAAGAGCAGAACTTTGTGGTCCAGAATGAAATCAACAACCTCTCCTTCCTGACCGGAGATAATAAAACAAAGATGTCTAAGGTAGGTTTTATACCTGCTCGCCACCTCTCAACACTTTCAGCTTTATTATCTCCTGAGTTTGGGCTTAACAGTGCAGCAAATTAATACTCTTTTAGTCACCCGTGGCACCCGGATCCATCGAAACTTTACTGTGTTTCTAAGAGACGGGTGATAAAGACCTAAAGCATAAGCAGGATGACACATGTTAACATCGTCTCTGCCATGTTTAGTTTACATGTGCTCATATGTTAACATGGTAAATGCTCGGGACAAGAAGAGCTATGTGCAAACATACACACGACTACACACCTGTGACAAACAAGACCTATTGAATCTCAGAAGTTTTGATTTATGTGTGTATGTTGCGTGTATGTGTACGGATATACAGTACATGCATGCTTGTTACAGCAGATAAGAGCAACTAACACTCATCCCTCAGCAGACAGATATTCCTCCATACCTCCAGCCCTCCTTAAGACATTTTATTTCTTGTCTGCCTGTTTGAGCTGTTTAAAGGCAAACAAATGACTTTCATTGCAGTGCATGTCCGTTAACCGCTCTTTCATCCTTTTCCTCTATCTGCCTTTCTGTCTCTTTCTGTCTCTCTCTCTATCTAACAGTCCTTTAAGGAGAAGGTAGAGTGATGCAGTGCATGATGTGCCGTTTACCTGCCAGCTTATTGGCTTGCGCGCTGCAGCCGCCGAGCAGAGAAGCCAATAGCGTGTGCCGCTGTGCTCTATAAGTCTGTAGTGTAGTTACATAGTACGTTATTATTTGTGTCCTCCATTCATCACCATGTGTGACACGGTCCCTCTGGTCATTTCTCATTGCCTTATGGGTGCAACACGTCTCATGTGGAGTAATTGAAGCCCAACCCCCCCCTTCTCCGTGTAGCAAATCATGTGGTCGTATGTCACTGGTGTGTTTGCAGGTGATGGATTGTGGTAGTCTGGTGTGTTTGGCAAACAGTTACCTCAAGCTATTTCTATGTTGTTGTAATTGGTGTGTGATAAGTTTGTGTGTTTCAGTGTATGTGGAGTCTATTAAAATGGAGATTAGTGCTTTTACTGGGCCAGCTGCTCTAATTTGACTCAATAGTGCGTTTTTTTTCCCCCTCACTGGAAACATGTTGCGTATCTGACAGAACTAGTCAGCTGAGGTGTGAGACTTCATGCCGAATGCCTCGGTGGCACAGATGATTTAGTCCGGTCGTAGATTTTGCCAAGGCTGAAAAATAAATGCTTCAGTAGTCTCTGGCTTTTGTTCAAATGCAGTGCGAGTGCTCCCCCCCCCTGTGAAATGAAATACTCTAAAGGTATCACTTCATGCTGAAAGGAATTGTTTTAGTACAACATTAATCTCAGCAAAAACTGAAAAATTGTGTCTTGAGCTTATTCAGCTGCTAAAAGCTCCTAGCTTTTATTCACCAGTATGTGTTGTCTGAGCTTTATCTTGTGCATTTTTTTTTCCAGTCTGGAGGACAAGACCAAGAGAGGAAACACAAGAAGAGACGCGGCGAATTCTACTCCATCCAGACCTCCCTGATTGTCGCCGCTCTCAAGAAGATGCTGCCAATCGGTCTCAACATGTGCACCCCAGGAGATCAGGAGCTCATCTCTCTAGCCAAGACCCGCTACCTCCTGGTGAGAAAACATTTGACACACATATCAGCCATGCTCTCAAACCAGAAAGCCACTACAAGAAGATAAATAGAAGAAATTTACTATCTACACAGTCACACTTTGATAGTAGAATACAAAACCTTCATCCACTCTTTGTGGTGGTCGGTGACCACTCGGTGCGATGTAGGGCTGGACCCAGAACGGAAAAAGGCACAAGGTTAGGGAAAATCAGGTTTTATTTTAAGGGAATAAGGGAGTGAGGAAACCGGGGAGGCAGGTGAGGGAATCCGGGGCTGGTGCGCATGTGAATGGTGATGTCCCAAACCCGGTGCTTGTGTGGCGTTTCTTCTGTGGTGCTCTTCCGATGCTCGAGTGGAGGAATACCCGACTCGTGGATCCATGGTGGCAAAACCAAAAGCTGGCAAAGTGGGGCTGGAGACGCTGGAAAGGGAGAAATACACACACAGTAACTCGTAGGCTCGAGAAGTAAAGGCAAAAACACAAGTGCTTCAGCTGGCGACTAGATATACCACAGGAGAGTTGGCAATCATCTCGCACTGGAGCACAGAAAGACCAGTGGCTTTGTCCAGTGTACAACGAGGATGATCAGCCACAGCTGTGATGGTGCCGACGTGCGCTCCTCCAATCAGCCCCGCCCAGCCTGGAAAACATTGAGACACAGACACTCCAGCTGCATCCAGAAAATATTAATAAAAACAAATACAAAAATCACACAATAACCACACTCTTCTCCACTCTTGCAGACTGAAAACACCTAAATAGCACATTGAGCTGTTATAATAGCTTCACATTTTAACCCATTTGTTGTTGTTTTTTCCTTCTCGTTGCTCAACAGAAAGATACCGACGATGAGGTTAAAGACCACATCCGTCAGAATCTGCACCTTCGAGAAAAGGTAAGCAGGTCAAAAGTAAGTTGTGCTAATGAGCAATAGTGTGCATTGAAAACCACGCTGCTCTGTGTTTGACATCGTTTTCTGAAACATAGTCGGAGGACCCCGCTGTGAGGTGGCAGCTGAACCTGTACAAGGACATAGTGATGAGGACTGAGGGGCCTCCGGACCCTGAAAGAGTGGTGGATCGTATCCAACGCATCTCCGCTGCCGTCTTCAACCTGGAGCAGGTCAGGCTCGACATTTATACATTCATAACCACAGCTGGAGCTACAACTGGCACTCAGGCTGGTGTGATTGTTATAAAACATTGTGCTTGTTTGTGCTGGGTGGGAATGAAATGTTCAGTTTATCTTAGCTGCTTCTGTGAATAAAAATATCTGAGGCTAGTCTTCTGTGTTGTTTTTAACACTTGTTACTTGGTTTGACGTATGTGATGAAATAGAAATCGCAATCATCCTCGACAGCCAAATTGCACCTGGACCACTTAACCATTTCTGACACCCCCCTCCACCGCGCTCCCTCCCTTCAATCAGGAAGAGTCGAGTTCAGGATGAGTCACCAAAATAAAGAGCGCTTGTGCTGAGAAAAACCTATGTGTGTGCCTGCTGAAAATGCCAGTTCTCAGCTGTGATGTTTTTGTTTTTTTTTCCTCTGGTTTGCCAGGTAGAGAATGCCATCCCAGTGTGTTAATTAGATTTCTTCTACCCTCATCAGGTGGAGCAACCGCTGAGATCCAAAAAGTGCGTATGGCAGAAGCTGCTGTCCAAGCAGAGGAAGCGAGCAGTTGTCGCCTGCTTCCGAATGGCTCCGCTTTATAATCTGCCGAGGTATTGCTGCACACAGTTACATCAGCGCCTCTTCTCTTCTTTTTTAAAGTCTCGAACCGATCTTAACAGATTTATCATAATGACTCAAGATGACTTTCCAGCAGAGAATAGCACAGCGCTCCCTGTGGTGCTGCTACCAGATGGCAAATTGTGCAGCAAGTGCTGTAGCATCACCTCTACCACAACACTTTCTTCTTCTTCTTCTGTCTGACTCACAGCTCTCATTCCTCTCTTCCTGGGTTCTGACCCTGCGTTAATGCACAGTCTGCCTCAGTTTGTAGGACAAATGTCTAGCCGCTAGCTGCTATCAAAGAGCAGGAGAAAAAAAAGGGACACTACCAATTTCATGCCCTGCTGCTCCGTAACTCAATCACAGGAAGTCGGGCAGAGTGCTACAGTAGAGAGGAAAACAATTATGAGGCCCAACCTCAGGGTGGCCATCTTCAATATGTGCTCAGATGATGCCGCCCGCCTGCCCGACAGCATGACTCATTTATTCAGAGTTGTTGACAGTGAAATATGACACGGTATAGCTAATAATTACTTGACAGTATTTACAATGCAGGAGCAATGATTGTTTTTCTCTGGAGTAATAGATTTGTGTTTAGCGGGAAGGATGTAAAGCTTCTGGATAATGTCAACTCTCCCCAAGTTTCCGGATGTCATGTCTTCACTTTTGTGTCTCTCTTCAGTCTTTGTTCTCTCCTCAGTGTCACACTGTATTTGTACCTCATCCCCGTAGGCACAAAAATAATAATTACTTCCTGAAAGCCTACCGACACATTTGGCTGGAGATAATGCACGAGAACACAGACTATGACAGTCTGCTCTCGATGCTGACGGTAACGTAGTGCTGACCCAACGTTGCTACTCTCTGACTTGTGGTCCTCTCTTAACTCTTGCCTTGCTTTCCTCCAGGCACGGTTTCTGCTACGAGTTTTAACTGCTATCTTCCCTGGTATTTCCACTGGTCCACACATTGGCAGTATTCAGAAAACTCTGAGGGTATAGTTTAAAAAATTTGCTATTTTGCCACTCTGGTTGGCGTTAGATGAGAAAACTGGTGCTACACCTACCTCACTCCGAGGGCTGAGCTGGTTAATTAACACATTATATCATGATATTGTTTAAAAACCAATAAGCAACAATGATAAAGTGTCTTTTCCTGGGGTTATATGCTGGATTACTTGGCCGGTTACAGCGACTTCCTAGAGTCTTGTATTCATTATGAGATCGCAATTAAACGTTTCCAGGCTACCTGTTCCTTCTTCTCTTAATGCAAAGCTAAGTTAATACGAGAATGCTTTTAATGTCCTTTCTTAACTGTTGCGGGATCACAAACATGTAATACAATCAGTAATTAAAGTGACTTTATAATCTCATTAAAGTGCATTTCCTGCCTGCAGAGTTAAGTTTAGTAGTGGATTAAATAAAAAGAATTCAGTCTGGCAGGAGGCATGTACGTCTGTGTGACAGTTTCCACTAAGGTGACCAGATGGATGTGCCAGTACCCTACACTAACCAGTATTAACCTCTCCGAAGGGACTTCTCCCCCTGCTTTGCTCTGCTCCTATCTAACCCGGGCTAATGTCCTCTCACCCCTCCCTAGGCATCGCTCTATTAACCTCTTCCTCCTGGCCTATCAGAGAATATGGATAGAAACAGAGGAGTACTCCTTTGAGGAGAAGCTAGTGCAGGACCTTGCAGTAAGTACTTGTCTCGTCCCCCCCAGTGCCCTCATGTCGGTACCTCTGTGCTGCAGGGGAGCTGAGTGTCGCCTCCCACCGCCCTCGTTTACTTGTGTCAGTGTGAAAGGTGTCAAAAGCAGCCCAAGAACCACTGAGTCACTCTCAGCCATCCTTACAGTGGTTTTGACTCATTTTTGTAAGCATGGCATCACTGCTGATGTCAGAGCCGGCTCGCGTAGCTCAACCACTGTGTCCCATCCTCCAGAGGTAAGAAAGCAAAAACGACGCTTTCACTTACCGCTGTGAAAGTTTTGAAAGTTCTTTCCTAAATTTTCACAGTCATAAAGCTTCAAAATCATGCATTGAATTTTCTGTAGCGAAAAGAAATACAGCTGCTGTCTTTACAACTCCACTTTCAGAGATATTGTTTCACTTTGTTGCCCACGATAACCTGCAGCAGTCTGATTAAAAAAAAAGACTTTTGATTTATGAAATAGAGTTTAATAAATATGCATATTTCAGTCGAGAAAATGAAGAAATCTTCAAGACACGTTGGAACTTGACGAATCCCACTGTGCCAGTGGGTGTGTTTCCTTTTTTTTTCTTTTTCAATAATGAAATGAAGATAAAAATTTGAATTAATACAGCTTTCTGAAATTCTAATATTCTTTTTTACTGTTTTATTAGTCTGATTTTTTACACATTATTTGAAATGAAAGCCACGGGGGCTCACAGGAGAAGTTAATAGATGAAGAACTTTATGATCCAGCCAAACCAAACAGACTTTTTTTTTTGCAGCAGCCCTACAGAAAAACAATCCCAATGTGTCTGATTTCATGAGTGAGAGTCACGCTTAACTCCATTCACCTTTAACAGCGCCGGACTCTTTGCGTGTGTGTGCGCCTGCTACCATGTGTGTGGATGTCGCCGTCATCACGTCCGTGCATGTGTTCAGTCCTGTGCACGCCATCGCTCGTCTGTTTTCTGATGCAGCCTGATTTACTTAAGTGACAGTTAAATGTCGCTGCACCGACTGTTTGCACAAAGTGTTACGATACAAACTTCCTGGCTTAGCTGTTCACGTGAGTTTGAGAGTGCATGCCTGCTGACTCCGACGGCTTTGTGCAGAAAACGCAGCCCAAAGTGGAGGAAGAGGAGGAGGAGGAGGTCAGAAAGCAGCCAGACCCTCTTCACCAGCTCATTCTGCATTTCAGCCACAATGCTCTGACTGAATGCAGGTAAACACACACTCACTCTCACACACCTGGCCACCTGGCAGCGGCACAAGTTGCTCCATCTGTGCTCCATAATTGTTTTGGCCTGCTTCTCAGCTAATAAAGAGAGCATTAAGCTAAATCATAGCCATATTTTATTACTAGGAAGGAAACACAAGCAGTTTTTCCTCTTTTTCTCTGTAAGTCTCGTTGCTCACACTCTGCAGCGGCTATAAATACAATCACTGCAACTTACCTGTTGTTTACAGATGAGATATGAATATGCTCTATACAAGGTTTAACCGCCGGGTATTTATCTTCCTTCTCTGTTAGTTCCTTGGAGGAGGATCCCTTATATATTGCATATGCGGATATGATGGCAAAGGTACCTCATTCTCTAAATTGCTTTTGTGTGCCGCCCGGAAAAATGTGCAGGTTTTGACGTTCGGTTTTATCTTTTTAGAGTTGTGCCGAGGGCGAAGAAGAGGAGGAGGAGGAAGAAAAAGAGAAAACATTTGAGGTGCTGTTAATTTTTTCAGGCGGACTGTTCTGCGCTTCACTTTGTTTGTTTTTTAATCATATTCACATACGTTGCATGTTATGATGTCCTACAGGAAAAGGAAATGGAGAAACAAAAGATGTTGTATCAGCAAGCGAGGCTGCACGACCGAGGGGCCGCGGAGATGGTGCTGCAGATGATCAGCGCCAGCAAAGGTTTGGAAAACACATCAGTCTCACTTCCTGCAGCAGCCGTGTTTGGTAGAGCCATCATCTGTGATTTTGTGGTCATCAGGTCGACTCGGTGCTATCGTGACTTTCACCCTCAAGCTGGGCATCTCCATTCTCAACGGTGGAAACATTCTGGTTCAGCAGGTACAGCGCATGTCTTTTTGGGTTAAAAATGGACAGTTCACAGCTTCAGCTTCACCATTAATGCTGTTGTTTTGTTGCAGAAAATGCTGGATTATCTGAAGGAAAAAAGAGATGTCGGCTTTTTTAAAAGTTTGTCTGGACTCATGATGTCATGCAGGTAATGGAGCAACGACTAATTAATACACATTGAACATGATTTACTTTTTGTTTCAACCGTAATTTAAAGGGGAACTCCACCAGTTATAAAACTTGCATGGAGTACAGCTCTGCAATTTCTATAGCTGTGAAAAACTTCGGCAAATCTTGGTTACTATATAGATGTACGAGGTGTGTCAGAAAAGTTCCAGGACTGGTGTCACAAAAGATATACTTCAAATCCAAATTACATAATAATAATTTTCCCCTTCGAAGTAATCCCCCTGGGAACGTACTTCCCCAGCCTTCTCTGCCTTCACACCACCATGCACTCCTGGAAGGATTCTTCCAGGATCCTCCACAGCTCCATCGTCACAGCCATCTTGATGTCGTCCACGTCTTCTAAATGGGTCCCCTTGATGACCCCCTTGAGCTTGGGGAAGAGGAGCAAATCCCAAGGAGCCAGGTGGGGTGAGTAGGGAGGCTGCTCCAGCACGGAGATGTTCTTCTCAGCCAGGAACTGTGGGATGCTCAGGGCGTTGTGAGCAGGTGTGTTGTCATGGTGAAGCAGCCACGACTCGTCCTGCCACAACTCTCACCTCTTCTACTGAATGAAGCAAATGCCGCAGGATCTCTTTGTAGACGTGCTGGTTGATCGTCTGAAGGGGAAACTCGTAGTTTGGGTTTGAAATATATCTTTTGTGTCCTGAAACTTTTCTGACACTCCTTGTGTAATCGAAAGTCGGCATTTCAAACTAGAGTAATGTCACTGCTTGGAGATCAAAGTAAAAAACAACATGCTGCATCATAATAAGTGTAGAATCTAATGTTTTGAAGGTTGATTCATACTTGGGACCATAGACTATATAAAAGATGGACGTAGCAACCGGCCCTGAAAAATGAAGCCAACCCGGAAGTGTCAAAAACCTGCAACATCGCTACGTCCGCTAGCTGCTGGCTCCAAACAGCCCTGACTCCCATAGAAATGAACTGGAAGTGATCACAGATCACGAAATACTGCATTCCTACAGCTCAGGATTTTTTAAAAATTTGTTAATTAGAAAATTAGAAAATAAAATAAAAAATTGAAAATTAATTAGAAAATAAATCAATACTGAATTTTTTAAAAATCGTCAACATTTTGCGGGGCAAGGGGCGTGGCTGGCTTGATTGACAGTCGGCAGCGACCATACAGATGAAGCGAGCAGAAGGCGGTAAATGTGGGCGGGCAGAGAGGGCCTGCCTCTCAATCCATCTGACCAATCGCTGCTCCTATGGCTCCGCCCCCCTCCGACAATTTTTGCGTCACTGGCTCCAAAAATCCAAGATGTCAACCAGGAAGTAGCAAAACCCTGACTTCATGTTCTCAGTGCAGAAACCAATGGGTGACGTCACGGTAGCTATGTCCATCTTTTATACAGTCTATGCTTGGGACTAAAAGTAGGCTTGTCTCTGTCTTTGCTGCTTCTATTTTGACCTTTCTGTTTCCATCTGTGTTTTGGGACTCTTCCCTACCTAATTAAAAACACAATAATAAATTGTTGGAGTACCCCTTTAAAATAAAATATACAGACTACAGGAATGCAGTTTATCATAGCTCAGTCTTTGTCTCCCTTCAGTGTCCTGGACTTGAATGCTTTTGAAAGGCAAAACAAAGCTGAAGGTCTGGGGATGGTTACTGAAGAGGGATCAAGTAAGTGAGGACAGTGAACGTGGTCTGAAACAGTTGTTCCTCAACCATGTGAGTGACTGACTCGTCCTCTACTAGAAGACCTTTAATCATGCTGATGCAAAGAGCAATAAGCAACACATTTGTCAGTTTAACGTGGCAGAGAATAACATGAACTGCAAGTCGATATATGCTTAGTATCACTGTTGAATCATAGACAGAACCTCAATAGTGAAAGTTCAGCAGTGTGTTTGCTACGCTCCATGTTGTTGCTAAATGCTGATCCGCTGCAGATCTGAGTGTCTTTGTAAACTGACTGCAGGTTTGTGTGACATTATTTGTGCGGGAGATAAAAAAATTTCCAGCCACTCGGTGTTTTATTGAAGTTCTCGCTTTATTCTGCTCCACTTAAACTTCTGAAGATGTCGCCTAGCTAACAGCGTTACCGCGACGCGCCGTTGGGTTTGTAAACAATCACAAAGCAAATCACGCAGCATCACCCTGGCAGAACATTTTGCTCTTCAGTTTGTCGATGCACAAGTCCATCTCCATACCACGTGTGTCTCTTGTGTGTCATGTTGTCACGTCACCCTGCAGGTAAACCTGTGCTACTGTATGTCTAAGTCCTGTCCGGGCCTTGTCTCCCGCTTAAAAGCGTTCACAACCACAACCGCATCTACATAGAAAATTCACTTTGTAATCAGAGGTCTAATATTTAAACCGATGGGTTGCATACAGTATATAAATATGTTTTTTCTCATACATATTCCAGCTCATTTTCACCTCATAAGCTCAGGCATAAGTGATGGTAACTGTAAGTCCGATACTAACCTCTAAACACCTGCCTAGCGAGCAGACTGTCCTTTAAGACGTTAAGAATTGTGACCGCATGTCAATGTCGCAAATCAATGTGAGTATGTAAAGATATATATATATATATTTAGTCCTATCATTCTCTCCTGTTCCTACTTCTTCTGATTGACTCTCGATGTCTTCTCCTTTGCTTATGTCTGCTTTTGTTTTGTTTGTTTGTTTGTTTGTTTGTTTTCTTCTGATCATGTTTTTTATGTCATCGGTCGCAGTCAACGTGAGTGAGCGGGGTAAATACATGGTTTAGATTCTACTCATTCTTTGCAATGCTGACATCTTGATTGCTCTCCGTTCAACTCCTTCCTCCCTCTCCTCGTTTCCTCCCTGTCCTTCTCTCCCCTCCTCCCCCCCTTCCCTTTGTCCTGAATGCAATATAACCACCTTCTCTGTATCCTGGACTGAAGGAACGCATGCATGCTCCTATGACATCTGGATAGATTGTTCAGTCCACGGTCAGGTGCCGCAAACTGACTCAAATCTTTCCACTTCTTCTTTTATAAGAAGCCAGTGCTTGTTATTTGTCTGAGACCCTTTATGTTTCTTAATTTTTGACAATACTAACCAGCGTGTCTTAAGAAATGAATCTCCCAAAGCTTTGTTTGTACGAAACAACAAAGCTTTGCTGGTATTAAAACAACACAGCTCAGTTTTATTCTTATTATAATTTAATTTGTGAGATGATGCACTATACCTTGTGTGTGTGTGTGTGTGTGTGTGTTCGGAGCCCTCACATAATTTAATGCCTTTTGACAACTAAAACGCAGCTTTATGAGGAAGCGAAAGCTATGCAAGCTCTGATGCCTGTACAGACAGTTAAAATGATGGCTCTCTGACCTTCTTGTGATTGAAAAAGGCAGTTAATCTCATTTCCTGTCCTCAGGTTCCAAAGTACTGCAGAATGATGAGTTCACAAAGGATCTCTTTAGGTTTCTGCAGCTTCTCTGTGAGGGCCACAACAACGGTAGGTTTTCCATAAACCAAAATTAAAGACGACGATGCCTCGAGCTCTCTGAACAGATGTTTAAGAGGCCTGATTATGTAGATTTTCTAAATTAGTCATCTGCAGCAAATTTACATTTTTTTTTCTTATCATCCGTTTTAGATTTTCAGAATTTCCTGAGGACTCAGACAGGAAACACAACCACAGTCAACATCATCATTAGCACTGTAGACTACCTGCTGAGACTCCAGGTATGTTGCTAACAGATGTTTTATATTGCTGTAGAAATATATTTTATATTAATTGGCTTCTTCCTCTACTAGGAATCCATCAGTGATTTCTATTGGTACTACTCTGGTAAGGATGTCATCGATGAGGCCGGTCAGAGGAACTTCTCCAAAGCGCTAGCGGTGGCCAAACAGGTCTTCAACTCTTTAACAGAGTATATACAGGTACATTATCCACA